TCCTTGGTGCGCGCGTCGCCCCTGGGGGGGGCGACGCACAAATAGCATTGATATTACACCAGAGAGAAGCCCCAATCAGTGGATGGTTTTCGCTGAGGAGATCGACTGGGAACCCGGGAGCCCGGGAACCCAAAACCCACCGAAATCGGCCCGGAACCAATAAACGGCCACCCGGGAACCCCAGAGCCCAGAACCTGGGAACCCGGGAACCCAGCCTGCCACCAAACTCGGCGGGAAGCTTTCGCCAACTCCTTCAACTTCCGCTATAGGACCCCTTCAGTGCAAGCGCTGATTTTTTTGTTGTTGTTGAACCCTCATTCTTGAGGGATGATTATTGTTGATCCCCCCCCACCGGTACACATTTGTTTTTTCAATTGAAGTGCCGCCCCCGGGGCTCGCACCTTGTTTTTTGTCAAGGAAAATCTTCCTGCTCAAACTGGCCCCCTGGTCCCTGGGTTACAACAACGACATCAGCTCCCGCCTGAGACTTCCTCACAATTTAGCCAGGACCCCCGCTCCCGCCCGAGACTTCCTCGCATTTTATTCAAGAATCGCGCTCTCGCTTTGGGACTTCCTTACGATTTATTCAGGAGTCGCTCCTCCTGCGCTCTGGAGTCGCGCTTTCGCTGGAGACTTGCTTGCAGTTTACTGAAGAATAACTCCCTTGCGTTGGAAATTCTTGCAGTTTACTCCAGCGCTGCGCTCCCGACACCCAGGCACCCAGGAGTCGCGCTCACGCTTGGGACTCCTTTCGCAGATTACTTAGGAATCGGGATCTCGCTGCCCTTCGTGGCTCCGTTGCAGCCCTTCGTGGCCCCCTCGCTTTGTTTCGTGGCCCCGTTGCAGCCCTTCGTGGCCCCCTCGCTTTGTTTCGAAGCCCCGTTGCAGCCCCTCGTGGCCTCCTCGTTGCCCTTCGTGGCCCCGTTGCAGCCCTTCGTGGCCCCCTCGCTTTGTTTCGTGGCCCCGTTGCAGCCCTTCGTGGCCCCCTCGCTGTATTTCGTGGCCCCGTTGCAGCCCTTCGTGGCCCCGTTGCAGCCCTTCGTGGCCCTCTCGCTGCCCTTCGTGGCCCCGTTGCAGCCCTTCGTGGCCCCCTCGCTTTGCTTCGTGGCCCCATATATGTATGCCCTTCGTGGCCCCCGCTCGTTCGCGCCCGTGGTGGCCCCATATGCATGCCCTTCGTGGCCCCGCTGTCGCCCTTCGTGGCGCCCTCGCTGCCCTTCGTGTCCCCGTTGCTGCCCTCAGTGGCCCCGCCCTTACCCTCCGCGGCCCAACATACGTATGCCCTTCGTGGCCCCCGCTCGTTCGCGCCCGTTGTGGCCCCATGTGCATGCCCTTCCTGGCCCCGCTGTCGCCGTTTGTGGCCCCCTCATTGTCCTACGTGGCCCAGGTGCTACCCTCAGTGGCCCCATCGTTGCCTTCAGTGGCCCCGCATTATCTGCCCTTCGTGGCCCACGCTCGTTCGCGCTCTTCGTGGCCCCATACGCATTCCCTTCGTGTCCCCGCTGTCGCCCTTCGTGGCCTACTTCGTGTCCTTCGTGGCTCTGCTGTCGTTCTCTCTCGCTCTCGCTTTCGCTCGTCGTCGTCGTCGCCGTCGCCGTCGTTGCCGTCGTCGTCGACTTCGTCGTCGTCGTCGTCATCGTGGTCGGTCCCCTGTCCGTCCCTCTTGGGGTCGGGTCGACGGTCTGCGGCCGCCCCGCCGATCAGCGCTGCCGCTGGCCAGGCCGACGGTCCGCGGCCGCCCCGCCGCTTGCCGGGGCCCGGCCTGCAGAGAAGAAAGGTATACCCCCCAAAAGGGGTTCGATCGAAAACGAAAAGGGCGGGTGTCGAGGGTTTGGGAAATTCGCGTTATTCGACACTCGAGCAGATAATGGCGAACAGTCTTAAACTGATTGTTGTTGTTGTTGTTGTTGCTGTTGCTGTTGCTGTTGTTGTTGCTGTTGTTGCTTTTGCTGTTGCTGTTGCTGTTGCTGTTGCTGTTGTTGTTGTTGTTGTTGTTTGTTGAACATTATTAATTCTAAAGAATAATTATTGTTGGGCCCCCTGGTGCACGCCCCCCCCCCCGCGCCTAGGCCGCAGCCACATTTTCATCATTTTCGTGAGGAAATCTCAGGTAAAACGATGTCATCCAGATCCGGTTGTTTTGTTGACGCCCGCTTTCCCTGTCAAAAAACACTATAAAATGACATGTCTTGTTCTAACATAACCAAACTTCAAGAATCCTTTGCAAAAAATGACACGAAGTGCACACTCGCGCGCGCAAGATGAAATCCTTCCAAAACCTTAGTTTTCGTAGCGATTTTAACATAAAAACATGAAAAAACCCAATGGTTTTTCAAAAAAAAAGTTTCAAAAATTCATCTTGCGCGCTCTTGCGGATTTCTGAGGAAACCCAATATTTTTTCAACATTTCTGTCAAACGGGCTCTTGCGAGCAACTTTTTCACGTGCTTCGAACTTCTGCAACAACGGTTGCGCGCATGTCAGGGCCATCATCCCTGTCAAATAATACCATATTGGACACATTCGTTTTTTCTTCGCGCGCGCACGCCGTCGTCGTCGGCCGCGGTGCCCTGAATAGTAGCCACGGTCGTCCGCATGCCACGAAGTGAAGTGTCCGAACGTCATAGGGCGGGAAGCTGGGTGTGGGTGGTGGCGAAGAGTCGTTTGGAAATGTGGTAGAGCTTGAACCGGCCCCCCCACAAAGTGGGGGTATTGCCCGCCTCCTATGAAAACCCTGGCACTGGTGAGAACGGAGTGTCCCCAGTCTTAAATGATTGTTGTTGTTGTTGTTGTTGTTCCCCACCGCAACACATCGAAGCCAATGCTGGTCCATGACTCCTCTGGGCTGAATGCGATCGATTCCCAGTGACATGGTTCAGGGGGACGTAAGACCTGGGTACAGGAGACTCGGAAATCCCCGACGAGGTTGTCAGAAAAATGACGAGGCCGACCCTGCATTTTGACGAGGCATCCCGCTGCAGACATCCCACGAAACTCCTCCTCGTCAAAATCCGAGGCGCGGTCGTCAAAAAACGATGGCGAACCCGAGTCCTGGCAAACCCGGGTCTTGCGCTCCCCCGAATGGTCCCCGCTGCTTGGTGCGTGCTGGGGCGACGCCGGGCCCAGGCTGCAGGGGCACTGCCCCGGGCCGAGGCAAGCTCCCCGACGCCCGCTCTCCCGGGCGATCGGGGGCCTCCCGCCGGGGCCCGTCGCCCGAGGAGCGGCGCGGAGGAGCGGCCCCCAGGGGCAGGCTGCCACGCGCCTGGCGCGCTCCCTTCGGGCCCCTGGCGGGGCACCGCGGTGCTGCCGAGTCTGAAGGGGCCCCAGGACACACAAATAAATACACACACATAAAAAGATTTCCCCCTATTTTCCTACATTTTTGGGGTTCTTGTCTTCCCCCCCACTACCCATATTTTCTCATATTTTCTGGGGGATCGACGATTCATTGTGTCTGTGTGTTTTTTTCCCTCCTGAGAGTCGTCCCTCCTGCATGCAGGAAGTGTCGTCGGTGGTGGGTCGGATTCCAGGCAGTCGCACTGCGCTGCCGCGGACGGCAGAGCTCGACGAGAGGTTCGCCCCTCGGCGCTCGAGCTCCGAGGTGCCCTCCGTGGCCAGGCTTCTGGGATGACCGATCGGATAGAAGCCACTAGTCGTAATTTGATAATTCGCACGTTGGGGTTGAGTAGGGTCGGGGGGTCAGGTCTGCAGAACACCCCAAACGGACGTCAAGGGGTGCAACCAACCTGTTGGGTCCAGCTGAACTTGGTGTACCACACCTGGCGTCAAGCCAAAACTTTGGACACATTGAGAAGCGAATGGTTGGATTTTGCACATCGTCGTCGGCTTAACAGGCGAGGCGTTTGACCACCTCGGCGTCACTTTTTTGGTGGTTCTGCAGATGAGGGCGCTCTCTGACCATCAGCCCTACTCAACCTTGGGGTCAACGCGAACTTGCCGACAAGGAGATGTCGAACATGATGTGTTGGGACGAAGGCGACTGCAAGACGTTGAAGCGCCTTGTCTCTGTCCATCCTGGGCGCCCAGGCGCTGTCGAGAACGATCCCCGCTTCACTTCGCCACGTCTCCGGGCGAGCGCACCCGACGGGAACGCCCCAATCAACGTCTTGGCGCACCCAGAGGGGCACGGCAGGCGGCGCACCTCCTCCCGACCCTCCTCCCGCGTGCAGGACGATGCCACCCCCCCCATCCTCCGCGGACAGGCACGCGGCCCCTCTTCACTCCTCCTGCTCCTGCACCTGCTCCCCCTTGCTGCTGCTCATGGCGGTCATGGTGATCCTGTGGCCATGCACACCTGTCTTGCCACCTTCCCACGGCAAAGCCCTGCGGGGAGGTGGGGGCGCACTAGCCTACTCCCCCATTCCTCCTCCCCCCCCCCCTCTGTCAGTGGCCCACGGACGCCGCCAGCTTCCTCCTCCTAGTCACCACACGCTTGTTCTGCTTATTCTTCTTGCAGCTCCTCCTCCCTCTCCTCCTCCTACTCCCCCTTCCAATTCCTCCTCTCTCTGACTCCTCCTCCATCCTCTTCCTCCTTATCCTTCCCCCTCCTTCCCCTGCCTCCTCCTTCCCCTGCCTCCTCCCTCTTCTCCTCCTCCTGCTCCTGCTCCTCCTCCTCCTCCTCCTCCTCCTCATCTCTACCCTCCTTCTTCCACTCTTCTCTCCTCCTCCACCTCCTCCTAGTGCACCCAGTCCTCCTTCTCCCTCTTTCTCCCTCCGTCTCCTCAGTTTCTTGCTTCTCCTTGTCCTTCCTCTTCCCTCAATCTCCTTCTCCTCCTTCTCCTCCCTCCAGCTCCTCCCCTGTCCTTCTTTCTCATTGCCCTCCTCTTCCTTTTCTCTCTGTCTGCCTCCCTCTCTCTCTCGCCTCCTCCTTCGCCCCCTCCACCACCTCCTTCCTCCTTCCTCCTCCTCCCTCCTCCTCCTCCTCCTCCTCCAACTCTGTCTCCCAACAAGTCACCCAACTGACGGCCTCTATCAAGCCATGCGTCCTTCGCCTGCTGCGTCCAGTTGTCGACCCGCTGATTGAACTTTTCCTGAGGGGAAGAGGGAACTAGGATTTCATATGAGAAGGATGAGAGACGTGCTCGTGCATGATAGAGGGATGAGAAGAATCAGTAGGAGGAGCAGGAGGAGGGAGACGAGGAATGTAGGTAAGAGAAAGAGGAAATCGGAGGGGGAGGGCGAGGAGGATGAGGACTAAACATCACCGGCCCCCCTCCTCTTCCTCCTCCTCCTCCTCCTCCTCTTCATCCTCCTCCTCCTCTCCTTTCTTCTCCTATCTCCTCTCTTCTCTTCTCTTCCCCTCTCCTCTCCTCTACTCTCCTCTTCTCTCCTGTCCTCTCCTCATCTCTCCCCTCCTCTCCTCCTCCGCTCCTCTCCGCGTCGCTTCGCTTCTCTTCCCTTCCCGCTCCTGCCCCTCCCGTTGCTCCTCCTCCTCCTCCTCCTCCTCCTCCTCCGCCGCCGTGGTATTCTTTCACGACGCGAGGGCGTCCAGGCACGGCGACGACGCAGACGCCGCGCCGCGCTCCTCCTCCAGCGCCGCCAGCTCGGCGGCCGTCGGCAGCAGGGGTGACAGCGGGGCGCCGGAGAGCAGCGCGCCCAGCAGCCGCGCGGCCGCCTGCGGCCTGTACTGCGGGACCATGTGGCCCGCGCCGTGGACGGTCACGAAGGACCTCGGCGGGGAGGGGGAGGGGGGAGGGGAGGGGGAGAGGGGGGAGGGGGGGCGGAGGGGGGGGAGGGGGGGGAGGTGGGGGGGGGAAAGGGAGGTGGGGGGGGAGGGGGGGGGGAGGGGAAGGGGAGGGGGGGGGGGGGAGGGGGAGGGGGGTGGGGAGGGGGGGAGGGGGGGAGGGGGAGGGGGTGGGAGGTGGGGGGGGAAGACTTGGCCCTGTACCTAGCCCTGTTCGCGCTTCAAGAGAATGGTGCCGCTATTTGGAGCCACTGTGGCCCGCATGGGCGATGGTAGTCGCACTGGTAGCTCTGGTGGACCCCCTCGCGCATGCTTCGTGAATGGTGAGCAACGCGGCCGTAAAGACGGAAGGTTCCCTTGCAATGGTTGGATCCTGCGAGAGCGTGAAGATCAATGATTGAGGGTGGAGGACTGTGTCTCTCGATGTGAGCTCGACATCCGACCACCTGGTGGCGTCTTGGTGAACGCGTCTGGCGATGAGTTCCATGGCGTGTGTGACCCGATATGTTCGCCGTTGGTCCTCTGTGGAGCCCGAGATGGCGTAGGTTCTCGTCGGGGTAGAACAGGACAGTACCACCTGCCCTGAAAAGCGGGCGTTCCTGATCGAACCTGGTTCTTCTCTGAGAACGACGTCTCTCCTGGCAAGCTTGTGGCGGGGTTCTGCGTCGATGCCTGGTGGCCTCTGGATTTCCGCGTTGCCTGGTAATTACCTCCGCATCCGCCTCAGGTTGCTCTTTTTCGGTGTGCAGAACGCGCCGTGGTGGATCAGCGGGTAGCAGCGGTCCATTGCTGACCGAGCTTTGGTAAGCTCCTGGTCGGACACCGTGGTGCGGCGCTGGGCCCCGGGGTTCCCAAGAGCCCGAGATCACGGAGCACCGGCTTGGATGCTGCGGCAGTTGAAGCCGCGAGCGCTGGCCCCTTCAACCGAGGCGTAAGAGCAGACCCAGCTGTTAGCGGCCCCTTGTGTGGCACTGCTTGGTGGGCCACGCCGTGAAGCACTGCTGGTGCCTTCGCCAGCGCGGCCAATTTACCGAGAGTGCAACACGGGTTGGGCGCAGAAGGGGCATGCCTTACAGGGGCGGTTGCCTTTGGGGCAGGCCTATCCGCCAGGCAGCTAGTCGTTTGTGGTGGCCCGCCTGCGCCGCGAGGCATCGGGGCCCCGGCTTTCGTTGGTGGTCTGGGCAACCAGGGAAGGGCTGATGGCCGGCTCCCTAAGTTTGCGTGGCGAGAGGAGAGCATTGGCGTTGAGATGTCGACGAACGCAAGTCTGTCAGCCGCTGGGTGCTTTTCTTCCGCCCGTCAAGGGCTTGCCGTCGACCGCGAAGAGAACCCTGCAGCGGAACATCGAGCTGGTCATGGCACGGTGCCCGTAGAGGGTGTCAACCCGTGGCATGTACGACACATCGTTGGTTTGGTGGTCGTCGGGCGCGGCGAAACGAGGCCATCCTCGTGCGCGTGTGGTGCCGGGTATATGGAGAACATCCCAGTGAGGCGCGTGGTGGTCCTGGCTGCAGGATCGAGCTGGTGTTGTTCCATGATTCTGTCAACGTCCAGCCTGTCCTGGCTACAGTCGACGGACGAGCAGATGCCCTCCATGCACACGTCGGGGCTCTCCCCGTCCGGGCTGTCCACGTGCTTCCAAGGGGTGAGCTTGCCATTGAGGGCCCTGGTGGACCTCTTGGGCGCATCAGGCACCCCTGGCCCGTGGGAACTGGAGGCCTGGGATGAGGAGGAGGAGTAGGAGGAGGAGGAGGAGGAGGAGGAGGAGGAGTAGGAGGAGGAGGAGAAGGAGGAGTAGGAGGAGGAGTAGGAGGAGGAGGAGGAGGAGGGTGCATTGCCGCGGCCGGCGTTGGGTGGGCTCGTCATGGTGGCCAGCAAGTTGCTCGCGCCGCGCGTCCCGACCGGGGTCGCCGCTCTCCTGCGCGCTCCCTCTGGCAGGCTCGGCCCTGGCCCTGGCAGCCAGGTCTCTGCAGAGAAGACCGACAGCTCGTTCTGCGGTCGTGCTGTGGGATTCGCTGTCGGGTGGTGGTGTAGGCTTAGGTCGGGCATGTCCACCTACGAGCGGATTTGCATACAACCATATTTAAACCATACCCAAGCATGCTCAAAGATGGTAGACAAATCGTCCCCATACTATTTTTTGCCTCTTTGTGAATAGTCCTCCTGTAGAGGGACAGGCCCGACTGAAGTGTAGGCTCGCGCCCTGGCGCCCGTCGGGTCTGCCTCGTCGACGAGCTGCTTTGAGGGCAGGGGTGGCGCTGGTGCGCCGGCCGCTGCCTCCGTGCGTCGCCCAGACTGACGGGTCTCTTGGTGCGACGAGGAGGAGGAGGAGGAGGAGGAGGAGGAGGAGGAGGAGGAGGAGGAGGAGGAGGAGGAGGAGGAGGAGGAGAAGGAGGAAGGGAGGAGGAGGGAGGAGAGGAGGAGGGGGAGGAAGGGGAGGAGGAGGAGGAGAAGGAGGAGGAGGAGGAGGAGGAGGAGGAGGAGGAGGAGGATGAGGCCCTGCGGCCGATCCGATTCGACCCCGACCCCGTGCCGATCCCGGCCCGACTCGATGCACATCCAGCTTTGGTCGGGTGCCCCGAGTGGGTGCTGGCGGATCCTGCACACGACCGCCATCGCCATCATCCGCCACAATGGGAGGGGGACGCGGCGCTTCCCCGCCCTCTGGGGGCGACTTGAGTGAGGGGTCCAGATTGAGGGGTCCTGATGCCCCTCCGTCAGCACCGGCAGGGGGACGTCGGGGCGGAAGCCGCCTTCAGAGGTCGTCGTGTGGTTCTTGGAGGGGCCCAAGGACACACAGAGAACAAGACAGAGATCCCATGATTCCCTATAGTTTCCAACATTTTCTGGATTTTCGTCTTCCCCCCCACTTCCCATATTTTCCCAGATTTTCCTGGGAGTCGACGATGAATTGTGTCTGTGTGTGTTTCCCCCCCTGAATTGATGGGTCTTGGTGCGATGCCCAACTCCGTCAGCACGAGCAGGGGGACGTCAGGGCGGATGCCGCCTTCGGAGGTCGTCTTGTCGTTCTTGTGGGCCAACCACCTCCTCCTCCTCTTCCTCCTCGTCGTCGTCCTCCTCCTCGTCGTCGTCGTCGTCCTCCTCCTCCTCCTCCTCCTCCTCCCGCCATCTCCTCCGTCATCCCTTCTCCTCTCTTCCCTCTCCTCCGCCTCCTCCTCTCCTCCTCCTCCTACTCCTCCTCCTCCTCCTCTTCCTCCTCCTCCTCCTCCTCCTCCTCCTCGTGCCGGTCTGGGGCGCCGTGGTGCCATGCCCGCAGGGTCTTAATTGCTTAGAAAGGTTTTACCTCCTGCGATCATGCCGTCGAGGACGTCCGCGGCAAAGTAAGCACCCGCGTCGGTGACCTCTGCTGTGACAAGCACCTGGGCGTGGTCACCCACTCCATGTGCGCCCCGAGTCTGCGGGCGCGAGGCGGGGCTTCGTCGAGACATGGGACGTCCCATCTGACGAGGAGCTGAAGAACTTTAGAGTATACGAGCTTCGCGGCGTGTTCGCCGGCTCTGAAGTTCTGGGCAAGGGCTATGTGGTACCATGACCCGACTGGGACTGGTCTGGCTTCGCGCGTCAGCATCCCGCATTCGGGTGATCAGCAGACCCTGGGGCTGGTTGTGAGCGCTTGGCTGCAGTTGTCGGCCGAGTGCACAGGGTGGGCACTGACGTGGGCGCGGTCTGGTGACCTCGCGCCTGCCGTCTCCCGCCGTGGGCCTGGTATGAGAGTCCACTCAGAATAGCAGATACGTTTGGGGTTCTGGATTCTGGTGGCGTGGAGGAAGACCCCGTGTTCGTAAACGTGTTCGTCGGTTCAGCGAGGTCCCAAGTGGGCCAAAGGAAAATGGCGCAGCCAGACGTCGCAACGTCCACCCTGAGCCATGTGACTCCGCTAGTCTGCTGCTGAACGGAAGTTTCGCGCAGGCCAGTCACGTGCATCGTGGAGTCAAGTTCACGCAGATCGCCCAGGGGGCCTCTCGAGAGAGTCGCGCTCTTTCGGCGCGTGGACCGTGGTGTCTCTGGCAGATGCCCTGCCGTTGACTAAGTTGAGCAGTCGCGCTGGGGCTTGAGCGGCACGGCACCGTGGTCGCGTTCAGAGGACCTCGGGTGCGTCACGCCCCGTGGGGGAAGGGGGAACGACCCGTGGCAGTCGCTTGGCGTCGACCCCTTATCCTCCCGGCCAGAGCTTCGGGCGGGGGCCTCGGCGCCGCGCTCTCGCCGCATCCAGCGCGCTGCAGTACGGGTGCAGTTGGGCGCTCGGGCGACCTGCTCATAAGTTTCCGCCCTGCCAGCAAGGCTGGCGCCTCTGCCGCTGTGGCGGGGGCTGTGGCTGCAGTGGCGCCTGCGTGGTCGCCCGCGCGGCCTGGCCGCGGCTCTCCTCCAGGGGGGGGGGCATGAGGTTTTGTGAGGCGCGAAACGTGGGCGAAGTGAGCGCGACCTCGGGGGGTTGTCGTGGGGCGAGGAGGCCTGGCAGATCGGCTGTGGGCGCGCTCGCTCTGGTGAGCGTGCTGCCCCATGTCCTTCCTCCGCAGCAACGACGGGCCCGAGCTCCCAGTGGGCCCTGGCCCAGATACCATTCAACCGTGCGGACACTCGTGGCATAGCCGAGACCGGGCAACAGGATGAAGCCCATGCTGGTGAGCACGGCTCGCCAAGTGTGTAGTGATGAAACCCTTTGTCCAAATTCCTGCTTGGGCCGTAGCTGGTGTGGCCACGTGGGCGACTGCGGCCACTTTATCAGGGACATTGCGCGTAAAGGTCCCGATGGTGGTCGCCCCCGCGGTCGTGCTACAGGGCTTTTTACTACGCGTGGCCGCTGCTTGCCGTCCCCTTCCCGTGGTCGGGCGGTGGTTGGGCTGGGCTGCCTGCGTGCGTGGGACACTGGGCGCGCTGTCCGCGGCGCCCGCTCCGACGGCGAAGGTGGCGAGGAGGCGACGCCACAAACGACTGATGCCCATGCCTGAGATGACTGCCGAGGTC